GTCAGTGGGAAACTGCCTCTCTCAGAGCTCCACCAGCTTGGGGGAGCCCAGGGGCCCAGAAGAGCCACCTGCAGGGCTTACCTGGGACCCGCCTCGTCTGCACCCAGGTTTCACCCACTCTTTGCCTGCTCAACGCCCAAGCCCACCCCCAGCCACTCCTCCCCAATCTTGCCCTCCCACTAAAGAGGATTCCATTCTCCTTTTCCATCTTCTTTAATTTTCACAACAGCCTGTGAGGTAGGTATGATCAGGACCAGTAATCAATAACTCTATCCAGGAATGGTAGCAAATGAAAGCGCAGAGGAAGCTGTTTCCGACCTTCTGGTGGATGAGCCGTGCGACCTTTCTCACAGCCCTTCACGGTTTACCTGCACCTGCCTTCTTGGGAGACTGAGCAGGGCCAGGAACCTTCTGGGGAGTCTGAGCAGGCACCCCGGCTCCATGCGTGCCTTGTGTCTCCAGGCCCTGTGACTGCTCCCCAGCCGAGGCTGAATTACCTGAAAAGCAGAGAGAGGTGAGCTCTCCTAAGACAGCCATTGCATGGTTCTCAATTTCCTACTGATGTTAGGCTACCAGCCCAGCTAATCAGATTTCAGACAACTCCCAACACTCTGATGTAGAGAGATTGGAAATGAACACACACTCACATTCCAACAGCAAAAAGTCACTATTTGGTTTCTGTTTTTAAAGACTTATTTATGTATGCATACAAGAGCTGGGGTGCAGGCCAGAGGGGCAAGGGAGTAAGAGGACTCACCAGAGACAGAGTGGGGAGCAGAACAGGTGGACTGGCTGAAATCCACTGGTGAGGGAGCAGAAGGTGAGACAGGAGAGGGCTGCTGTGCCACGTGGGGCAGTTCCCTGGCCAGGACGGAACTCCTGCTGTAGTGGCTGCTAATAGCTTCACAGTGCTGAGACTTAACCCCTTACGTCACCAGGGAGGCCCAAAAAAGTCACTATATTGTACGTAGGAGAAACCCACTACACAGGACCAGGAGAAAATGATGCCAGGCACCCCACACCCTGATAGCCTCTGACGCTGGTATGTGGAGAGTCCTCTCCGCCTTCGAACCCACCGCTCAGAAGTCAGTCACCGCCAGCCCAGCATCAGAAAACTCCACACCGAGGCTGAGCAGCTCTGATGCTGTGAATTAGTTTCCTATCACTGATTCTCCTGATGCAGCAATTAAAATTTTGAGATGCTAGACGAACACATACTCTGACCCACATCCAGGCTGGTATTTGCACGGTAACAGGACAGCCGGGCCAGCCGGCCGTTGAAGATCACTGCGGATCACAGTGAGTGGCAGCGGGCCATGCCTGCTTCACTCTCTACTTTCCAAATTGTTCTGTGATGTGGTTGAAACGATTTAAAACTGCACAGAAACAAATGTTAATTCAGTTTCATCGAGGAAAGCCATTCCTGCACTAGCCTGACCTTTCCATCACTGGCCTATCCCCGCCTATTCTTTCCCTCTCATGGGTGTTTTTCCTACGTCCTCATCAGCCACTTCCAGCAGCGACTCAAACACTTGGGCTGATGCTCTCAGCCAGCAGTGCTGGAGCCCAGCCGCGTGGCGTCCCGCCTTTGCTGAGAATCACAGTTCGACAGCATGAAATGGTGACAAGTCTAAGCTTCTGCAGGGATGGAGATTCACTTCACATGCGAAGGGATTTCCCCCAGGCTTTTCTGGGTCAGGCCAACATGGTTGGTAGTGTGCTGTCTGCCTCTGATCGTCTCACCTTTGTCTTCAAGCATCCCGTGCAGCTTCATGTGCCTGTAGGTGGAGATGATCTGGAAATGAACGACGCTGGGAATATTCAGCCCTTGGTCCTGCAGCAGCTGCAAGGCTGTGGCGTGAATGAGCTGGTGAGAGCGCTTGCACTTCTGAAGCCTGCACTCTCCTCGCACAAAGGACTTGCACACGTGGAACTTGTTGCATTTGTCCTTGAGGTTGCAGTAGCCATAAAGGGCTTCTCCTTTGTTGTACAGCAAACAGACCTGCACAGAAATAAGGCAACCATTAAAACAAGTGTCCTCTATTTTCATTTTTTTTTATTACAAAGTTTATTTTTACATCATTTTGCACATTTTTTTTTCCCATCTTGATTGCAATCCCCGCGGGTTTCCCATCACCAAATCACCCCTGTGCCACCACC